GTTCTGGTGAGATGTGAAGCATATAGAGCCCTTAGCCTGGAGCCTCAAATGTCATGAACGTGAGGATGTGGTAAGTGTTACCACAGTGTGTGGTTTGTGTTTCTTGTGCTCACCTGCTGGTCCCCCTGCAGATGACTCTGAAGGAGTTTGCCGTGACAAGTGAGGGCCAAGACGATGAAGAGTTCCTCCAGCAGTACCGGAAGCAGAGAATGGAAGAGATGTGGCAGCAGCTTCACAGGGGGCCCCAATTCAAGCAGGTTTTTGAGATTCCCAGTGGAGAAGGGTTTCTAGACATGATTGATAAAGAACAGAAAAGCACCCTCATCATGGTCCATATTTATGAGGATGGCATTCCGGGGACTGAAGCCATGAACGGTTGCATGATCTGCCTTGCTGCGGAGTACCCAGCCATCAAATTCTGCCGGGTGAAGAGCTCAGTAATTGGGGCCAGCACTCGGTTCACCAGGAATGCCCTTCCCACCCTGCTCATCTACAAGGGGGGCGAACTGATTGGCAACTTTGTTCGTGTCACTGACCAACTGGGGGAAGATTTCTTTGCTGTGGACCTTGAAGCTTTTCTGCAGGAATTTGGGCTGCTCCCAGAAAAGGAAGTCTTGGTGCTGGCGTCTGTGCGTAACTCCGCCACCTGTCACAGTGAGGACAGCGATTTGGAAATAGATTGAACAGATAGTGTGGTTGCATAGATTTCTCATTGTTTGGGAGACACATGGCTATGTGTTTATTTTTGTTGCTTCCTGCGTCTTGCTTTTCAGCTGTTCATTGTAGTCCTTTTTATTAAATGTAAAGCCAAGAAATTCTTAGATTAAATCAGAATGCTGAATCACCTTATGACTAGCAATGAAATTACTTAAAATTGTATAAACAGGAGGCTAGGCTTTAGGACTATTTACTTAAGATTCTTTAGCATGACATTTCTGTTATTGTTTCCAGGCAATATTTACATAGCATCCTTAAAACAGTGTCCTGGAAATTGTCTTCAGAGGATCTCAGGGAGGTCTCTGCCAGGTCTGGGAGTATAATTCTACAGTTAGTCTGTTATTAGCAGCATAAATAGTACATTTCCTTCATCAAATGATTACCAATTATATTTACTTATAATCAGATCCATAGTCTTGGAGGGCAGTTAATTTTTTTTCCCCTGACCCTGTTCTCCAGAGTCTTGTTGAAAGGTTCCAGACCATATGTATTTGCCCCATCAAGAGGGTGACATCTGTTGCTGGAGTCAGTGTCCTGCTCAAACACTATTAAATCTAGAGTAGGAG